TTTCAAGGTTCGCGGGAGAAGTTGGCAGGCGGAACAGTCTTTCAGTTATAGAGGAACGACTACTGAATGGAAATGTGCATCTTTTAGGCAAAAAATGGTCGTGTTGATTCTAAACTTTCATCTGTTTCGTGCGGCAAAAAATGATCTTGTTGATCCTGAACTTTCATCTGTCTCGTGCCCTTAGTAATTTACTTTCCAGCCAACAGCGGTTCATTTGTTCTTATTGTTAATCAACTGGTTCTGGTTACGCTGTGGCGTGTACGAGATTGTAGGATGTGGAGTGAACCGTTCGATAGCTGAACAAAATGCTCGTAACTTGGCAATGGGTTTCCGTAACATATTCACCGCTATGTGAAGAGATTAGCGTTTCCCGGCCTAACGAGAGGTGAGGGAAGGAGCGTTTTGCACTTTGACCTGTTCCTTTTGCTAGCTCATGTTATCTGGCAGGCTAACAGATCCTATTTGGTAACAGCTGTAAACTCTCGTGGGGCTGCGAAGTGGCACACGTGAGAAACCTTGATTGCAAGAACTTACTGATCTTCCCATGATGACCTGTACAAGTGCCATCTGGTGCCCCACCCAAGCCGAACTGCGCCGACTTTCGTAGTGAAATGTTTGTTGACGCGATCTCCGATATAGGTCGACGCGTCACTTCTCATATAGTTACTGAATTAGTAAACTTCGTCAGAGGTAGTCAATTCGCTTTACAACTGGGGTGGGTAACCAGTTCCTTTTAGTCAATCGCTTCGGACGCGACGCACGCATGGCTCTCACTCAGAAAAGTAGTGACTTTTTTGAATGCAACGGTCCTATACAACTTACAGAGATCAACTAACGTAGATTTCAGTATTTCTGTCCTCCCATACACTTCTTCAATCTGTAAGCTGAGCTTTACTAGTCAGGGGTAGGGGAGGAAGATGGTAGTCCTATGTTTGATCCACAGGATCGCGTCCCGATGAGCAGCGCCTTTTCTCGTTTCATCACTTCAACCCTAAACGATAGGACACCTGCATTTTTTATCACTCAGAGATGTGATATGCATTTGGCTCTCATTGAGGGGTTCAAAACAAAAATGTTGGTTCTTCGTTTGACGATTCGCCGTGGGTAGGTTTGGTCTTCATGGAATTTCGTTGAGTTCTTTGCCTAGTGGATCGTAAGTAGCGAAGTTAATATTTTCAACATTTTCAACTTTCTTTCTCAGAAGTTGGAGTGTTTCTACGAGCTTAAATCCAACAATTCTTCAAATGGCCTTTTTTTGTAAAATGTCCACGTGCACGGACCTCCAGGGCATCTTTGGCTTACAGGAAAGTTCACCACTGTTGAAACCGACGTTATCGTTCCTTCTCTGTCGAATGAGTCTAAACAAATGAGTCTCGAACAAGCGATCTTAAAGTGATGAGCGCTCTCAGTAGTTTGGGTTAAACCCGCTGAATGTGCAAGGGTGATTTTTGAACCTTTGATCAATGGCGATATATTACTGCAAGAATGCCGGATAATGGGCGAAAAACTTCACCTCAGTCTCTGCTGGGTTCAAAGCTGTACCTCACATTTACCTACCGAGCATCACACCCCAGGGCCAGGGCCATTTACGGCACGTACTGTTGG